GATTGATCTTCCGCTTTACAACTTTTCTTATACAGTATATAGCCCTAGTGTACGTTTCATTGACAGATTCGTCATAAATGGATGAGAATTCTGCCATCGTTTTCAGAAGAAAATTCAGGTGCAGTTTTCGGCCAGTGGGTAGAAGGATGAATCTTCTAATTCACTAGAGGAAGGCGATGACAGGCACCGTGTGGGTGTAATGACATTTTAATATTACCACATTTTGACAGAGTTTGTATGATCATTTATCCTGTTGAAGGAGCTCTCTTTTGCATCTAAAGCGTCAGCCTTTAGATCCTTAATGTAAGGGTCTCATTGAGAACCATTATCTTATGGGGAGCTCACTCTTGAGAGGTGCAAGTGAAACTTCTTATCTAAATTAAGGCGTAGTTAGTTGGTTCTATAACTTGCGAGCTACTTACTCTGAGTGGAAAAAGTTTTCTCACTAGATGATACTAGATCAGAAATGTATGGTAAGCGAGCTGAATTGACTGCTAATGACTCTATATACCTCTGGAAAGAGTGCATTTGATGCCAAAGATTTAAGTGCTGAGATGAGTTTTATATGAGGGAGTCTAAACAGAGATCTGATTAATGGTAATATGAGGAAGCCATGTTCGGTTGGGGAACTTTCTCTAGAGATATGAGAAAACCACGGTTTCAGAGGGTAACAAATCTCAAGAAGAGTCTTACGTTTAGCCTCTGAAAGCTTACACTTCAGATAGCAAAGACATCGCCCATCAAGAGAGCCGACAATGATAGGCAATGTCTCTGTTGTCAAAAATATGTGATTTGTAATAAAGTCTTTCCAACCATACGGTGACTCGAACCTTCATCCAGTAGTGAGTTAGAAGATTATCCATTTCACTTCATGGCGTAAAATGCGCATCTACGCTTACCACTTACTTTCAAACAGGATAGATTTTCTCATCTATTCACGGTGATTCTGTACATGAAGCGAAGGCTCTGGGCCATAAACTTGGAAGCAATATTTGAAAGAGGTCAACGAATAGATAGAGGCGAGTAAATTTTTCTCACCATGGCATTTATCAGAGATGGACGCTACCAAAACAAATCAGCCGACGTAGAGAAGGAAGGAAATACAAGAAATTTGGGATCACAAGAACTTTTGGAATATTGGTATCGCTTACATTTTGATAATTGTAGGCTATTTGAGGCACCCTTTATTTTATGAAGCTTATAGTGCAGCTCTGGTCTTTGTTTCTATACCATAAACCACGAGTGCCTTATTTTTAGGGCATAGCCAACAGCTATTTACTAGCATATTTCTTTCAGAAAGCGTAGTACCCATTTATTAACCTCGAAAAGAAGAAAAGCGAATGAGCAGATCGCAGCTCGAATCCACGAGCCTCTCATTCCTGAGTGTAACGCTCTCCCAACTGAGCAATCTCAGAGCACACAAACGATATATCAGTACATAGTATATCAATATGTCAAGTATATCAATAACTTTTACTTGTTAGCATTCAGCTGTTTGCTGTGTATTGATGCATGGAGTTAGATATTTGTCGTAATCCTCAGGATTCAGGTACGCCAGTGTAACCAACATCCAGAACTTGTTCTCCACATAGCAGCGAACAAATCCCATAGAAGGCTGGCTCACCGGAATAAGTGAATAAATCCGGAGCCACGTCGAAAAGATATTTTAATTAGGAGTAATATGGAAGGCGGCGGCTTTTAATGATTACTCATGCAAACACAATTTGTGACAGGTTGTTAAAATCGGACCATGTTTTGGCGTAATATACGCATATCTCCAGCGTATTTAATTCTGTGGGTTCGTAAGGGTCTGCGCGACAGAGTAAATTAGGGAAGTTCATATTTTCCTCGATAAGAGCCTGACATGGGCACTGAAACGGTTGGCTAGCGAAACAGCAACAGTTTGAAATTAGTGGACACCTTTTGTTGTTAAAGCCAACTGTCTGGGACCGGGTCTCTTTTATTGCTAAAGTGAGCACTCTTCTAGCAAACTTCGCAGTGCTTCCAGTGCAATACGCTGGTGTTGCTCAGTCGGTAGATCGTCGGACTCAGAATTAAGAGGTTCCGAGTTCACGAGTTCGAGCCCTGTCGAGTCACGCGCCTTTCTACTTTACCAGGTTAGCAATATATCACTCTGTGTTAAGAAAACAGGAG